CTGCGTCGACATGTTCCTCGATCTGGGATGCGCCTTGGCCATTGCCACCACTTCTTGCACCACCGCCAGCCGTTCCTCCGCTGCGACTGAAATCGGATTTGAAGCGCCCGATGGTGAAGCGCTCGCCGTCGATCTACTCGCACGCTGTGTCTCGCGCGCATTCCCCGACATCGTCTGTGTCCACCATCGTTCCCAGTGCTTACGCGCCCTCGCTGTACATTCCGGTTCTGGGCGAATCGACCACACCGCCTTTCGAGGGATCCGGTTCTGCTATCGGAAGCGGTTGTCCCAAGCGTGCAGCTCGGGGCGAGACGGTCTTTATCACCAGGACGGTCGAGGCTATCTAGTCGACGTCATTATTATTTGATTTACCAGATGCGTTCGTCCTCATCCTACTCACCTTTAATATCCCCTATATACGTACACCCTGTAGCATACTTGCGATCTACGGCAACTTTCGTGCTGTACTCGACCCTCCACTTGTATCATATCTATGTTCTCTCCATGCAATCTAATCAGGTTCCATGGAACAAATCCATCAATGACTGATTCCGCAAATGCTCCCGAACCCGCGGCATCTTTTCATTTTTGGAAGTGATCGATCGAGGTAACAATGGGCTTTGGAGAACAAAAAGAGTTGGCGGCATATAACCACGACGGTCTATGAGATTGCAAGTTCGTCTGTTCCCAGACTCACCGTCTCCCCTACTCTCCCCATCTTCAACCTGTGAAGGAAGATCTCGCCGTACGCTATCAGAAGTCGCACACAGACGATTATCGACCCACAGAGATCACCCGGGCATCGTGTGAGAGCCGGGCTACCGACACTATGCACCTTGCGTGACTACTCGCTACTCGAACCACACTCCCTGTAGCACGAAGCCAAACCCTATTCCGCCACGCGCCTTGTACTTTGCACACCAGCCGCTCGGCCGGTATTCCGCGCGTTGTGCCCGATATAGCCGCGACCTTGTCCCGCCACATCATCCATCAGTGCATGCATCACCTGCCCCCGGAGGCTCCTTCCGCATAAGGCCTCCTCGTCCAAATCCGGCAACGTGCTTGTGTTCGGTCCACTGCCCGATTTGGCATTCCCCTTGTTCCAACATCGAGCAAGATGGAAGGAGGTCGTTTAGCGAGGACAAGGAAATGGCTCTACCGGGACATGGGGCAAATACGCGTAGTTTTTATAAGACATGCGGGGCCTGCCTTGGGAAAGTCGATTACCATCCGCTCATCCCTCCCTCCGCCCTCCGCCTCGCCGCCGCCGTCGCCATGTACTACTACCAAGGGCCTCCGGCATGGGTTTTCTCCGCCTTCTCCTTGACGGCGTGCATCATGAACCTGATTCCCCTTCCGTGGCACTTGGAAGGTGCGTTTTCCCACCCCTTAGCGCCTAAGCCCCAGCTCATCCAACCCTGAATGCAGCCTGGAACGTCGGGACGTGCTTGTTCATGATATGGACCGCCATCGCCAACATGATCTTCTTCATCAACTCGATCATCTGGAGAGGGAACGTGCATAACTCGGCGCCGGTCTGGTGCGATATCGGTGCGTGCTTTGGTTCCTTTTTCGCATGCGGTGGCTGATGGGTTTTGTCCCCGCAGTGACGCATTTCATGGTTGGCTTCAACACGGCGGTGCCTGCCTGCTGTCTCTGCATCAGCCGGCGTCTGTACAGCATCGCGTCGGTGAAGTCGGTCACGAAGACCAAGTCGGATCAGCGCAGGGCGATCTTGGGTGACCTGGCTATCGGTCTCGGAATTCCGATCTTGTCCATTCCCCTTCGTATGTCGATCCTTCCTCGTGAGGGAGATGTTGGGTTCTTATGCAGTGACAGAATATGTGGTGCAAGGTCACCGCTACGACATCCTGGAAGATGTCGGGTGCCTGAGCGAGACGTACGAGACCCCGGTTGCGATTGTGCTTTACAACCTCCCCCCGCTCCTGATCGGTTGTGTGTCCGCGGTCTACTGCAGTGCGTTGCTTTCCTGTTTTCGCTTTCGCTCCGCCAGCGGCTGACGACGGCCTCACAGCTCTTGCGATCCGCGCCTTCCACCACTGCCGCCTCCAGTTCAAGGAGCTTTTGTCGTCCAGCAACAACCTGAACGCGAACCGATACCTCCGGCTCATGTGCCTCGCCGGCACGGACCTCGTCCTGACGATCCCCCTCACCGTCTTCGTGCTCGTCGCCAACAGCCGCGTGGGCATCCAGCCGTGGATCAGCTGGGCGGACACGCACTCCAACTTTTCACGTGTGCGGGAGGTCCCTGGAATCTTCTGGCGGTCGGACCCGTGGACTGTCGCGAGCATCGAGCTGCTTCGCTGGTCCACAGTCGGCGCCGGCTTCATCTTCTTCGCGTTCTTCGGCTTCGCAGACGAGGCGCGGAAGCACTACCGTCTTGCCCTCCAAAGTGTCGCGAAGCGCGTCGGAATCTCGACGTTGGGAACGGGTACGCTCTCGTCCAATGGGTGCGTTTCCACTCGCTTGTCCGGGGATCTGTCGTCTGACGAGTGGCACAGAACGAGCAAGGGCCAGAGCAGCTACAGTCGCGGCGCCCTGCCCGTCTTCGTCAAGAAGCAGGTCTCGCGCAAGCGCGACTCGCTCGACTCGTTCTCGGACACGATGGACCTCGATGGCTCGCTCGGCGCGCTCACCTACGACGGCTCGAAGGTCAGCGCCAAGTCGTTCGGCGATCTGTCGACCGAGAAGTCGTTCGGCGCGATCTCGTTCGGGGATGTCGGGGGCTTGCTCTCCGAAAAGAAAGGGGACGACTTCCTCGAGAGCCCCATTTCGTACTCCGGCTCGTCCTCCTCTGGAAGCGAGCACGGCGGTCTCTCCCGGCCGCTGACCCCATTTCGGACGACGCGGACGACATCGAGGTGTCGTCCCTGCACCGGGCGTCGATGTACGTCTTGCCGGCCATGCCGTCGGTAGCGCGCACCCACGTGTCCCGGACGTCGGATGTCGTCGATCCTGCGAACGCGGTGTAGATTCAATGGACGTTCTACCCCGTTTCGCTCTTCTTCGTGAAGATACTGTAGCATTAGCCCCCGTACATATGAACACCCACTCACCCATCCATCGCTTCTACTTTATCCTCATTATACCAACCCTGCCTTCCTTTGTATCACTAGTAGACACATGTTTCAATATGATCGCGATGCCTCCGAGATTTGCCCAGTGAGTTATGGCCTGGTGGACGGGTGACAAAGGCTTGAGTCAGATGACATCAGGCAGTATGATCATGTGACCTGATCCCAGTTCTCACTGCGTTAGGACTCCCGGTTGGGTTAGTTCGCATGATCATCGGGACTGCCTGAAGCTGCTCGCTGTACTTGTCCGTTGTTGCTGTATCTGCCCCGTTTCAAGTACATCGGGGGCATCATTGCCTTTTCCCTCCTTCACTGCTCTTGTTGGCCTGCCCATTGCCGGTCAAGTTCGGGGATCAAGCCAAGAGTGGTCGAAACCAATCTTACTGGCGGCGGGCTCCATCAAGTTCTATGTTATTTAATATAAGACTTAGTCCATGCTGAATTTCGCCGAAATGAAATATGCAAGACTCAAACCAATTTGCTGGAACAATATATACTTTTCATGTTGATCGTGCTTCTTGCGAGCGCTGCTATGGTGGCTGTGGCGTGGGCAGTACATAGAACCCATGGGGTAATTACAAGACCTGGTCACGGAGGTGGGCATTTATATTGGCTCATAGGCGCCATTGAGCGGAGTTCTGGACAAAGGACGCCGAGATATTTTTGATGTGTACATATAGCTGTACGCACTGACTCGTTCTGTTGTTTTCCCGCTTGCGATGGAGAGTATTAAGGGCGTCCGCAGATTGTGTGCCGTTCTCTGTTGATCATTATAAACCAGATAGGGAACAGGATCCCAATTCACACGCATTTTTGATCGTATATGTTCGCACTTAGTCTCACAAGTGCTCGCAACCTTGCGTCCAAACTGTCTTTGAAACCTCATTCACACGACAGAAAAACTTTGCATCCCGTAACGAAAGTAAGGATATCCTCTCTTTTTACTCTTTGATATGCCCTGCTGAGATTTGAGGAGCGGATATGGACCTGTATGCGTCTCTATTTTCCAAATGTACCGCCGTATTTGGCAATTTGTCTCGACGAGCCGTCGGCCGACTTCATCGGTTTGTCTCTTCAGAGAATGGATCGTGAACTGTATTAAGGCTATTCCTTGCAACCGTATTTGTGCCTTATTTGCGTGCTACTCAGCGGGGCGGGTGAACCTCATCTTTCCGGAGTAGAATGTTGTGGTCTTTTGGGCACGGTTGCCACCGCAGACCCTGAAACGGCCCGTGTCACAGCCTCTCCGATGAGCTCGAAAAATTCGAAATCCAAAGTGGTCCAATATTTTCCTTTGGTCAACACGAAGCCCGGCTGCCGCTCTTTTTTTAATAACTTCCGCTCTGGGGACCTCGTTTTGATTAGGTTCATTTAGTATTTGTCCACTTCGATGCATCGCATTCGATCCTGCTTTGCCGCTGCAAACGACAAGAGAACGGTTGGATTAAACGCCGTGACGTAGATTCCGGACGAAGCGCCGCCCACCGGGTGCAAAAGCAGGAAGCCGGCGTGACCGCATCCCGTGAGTCACTAAATTCCTCCGAGGCTGTCCGGGCTTCTGGCTCGGTTGGGGAACTCTGCAGCGGCGAGCCGTACGCGAGCGCGAGACTGCGGGCGTTCGATCGTACGTGGGGAGGCCCAGCATGGCGCCTGTGCCGGCGTTTCCAAATTTGCTATCGGAACACGCGGCGTAGGGTTTGGGGGATTGCCGATGCGGGCGGCCGGCGTTACCAATTTCAGTCTACTTCGGTATCGGATCGTCCGTGCGCGGCCGCATCGCCGTGGTGAAGCCTACTGTGCAGCCGGATGAAACAGAGCACTCGCACGAAATAGGAGAGTTGCTATGTACATATTTCTGCAGACTTGATCCAATAGAATTACTCGCGTACAACAAGATACTCGGTATTTTGAATGAATGCGATCATTCGGTGAAGCACGGGAGAGCAGAGCAGTACATTGTTCATGGCTATCATACAGTCGTCGGGTATTAACACTAACATTAAACTCCAGTTCTCGGATATGGGCGGCAGGCGGTAAATGAAGCTTTCGCGTCGCGATGACATCAGCCACACGTGGCCGGGTTGAATGGACATTGCGGGCTGCGATAGAAGGTCCGATGAGGATCTCGCTCCCGTGACCGGCGCTCGCAGGGAACTCACGAGTGGCCTCCCCTCCATCCACAGTGCGAGCACTGCGGGTCGCGTGCCGTCGGCCCAGTCTGCGCATCAGAGCAGGCCTGGCCGGCGAGGGTAAAGTCGCGTGCGTCTGGATGGCGGAGCGATTAGGGTGACTGGACAGCACATTGGGAGGTGCAGATAGTGGGATTGTGGGAGTGCTGATTTTCACGGTCTTGGGAGCTCACTGGAGAAACCGGCTGGCCTTAAATACAGGTTTGCCGGTTGTGAGCTTTTTTGTCCTGCACGTGTGACCGTCCCATAAATGCGCGCCGGGACAAAGGGGCGTCCGACAGTGCTCCGACACACAGTCCATCCGCTCGGATGGAAAGTGCGTCATCCGCGGACCCATTGTTCGCAATAGCCTGGCCGAGACAAAGAAAAGTTTGGCGTACCCGGTGGCTGTTCGGGTGCCTGAAATGCAATGGCTCTTCCATGTGCATTGTCAAAGCTTGAAAAA